TCTCTCTCTCTCTCGCTTGCTTGCACGCGAGGAACTCGCTCGCGCGCCCGCTCGCTAGAGAAAGCTACAGCTCGAGCACTTTTTTTCTCTCTCTCCCGCTAAGGAAGGATGCCTGTTCTACACAGGCAACAGCTGGTTTGTCGCCAGACTTCCTCGGTGTTCACGGAGCCCTGAAGGCCAAACGTAGAAAGACAAAGGTATCTGCGGAAGAGGACAAACGTGTGCTCTGGCCATTGCCCTCCTGCCTTCCCCCGCCCAGCTGTGATAGGTCATCACGTTGGCTGACACTGTCGACAACGAAGCCGAACCGCTACACGCCACCCACGTCACCCTCGACATAACTCCACTCACATCTTTTGCCTCCGAGCGGTCCGAGCGAGATGCCAGCAATTTTGAGTAATTTTGAGAAATTTTGGCTTCGTGATACATGCCCCGCTGTCCGGATTCCCGTCTTGATCGGCACGATCACTCTCCCGCCAAAACTCCGAACTGCCTGCAGCCACAAGCATATATGAATCGACGGCACCAGTGCCCTACCCCCGGGGCTAGGTCCCACTTACACGAATTAAGCGATATTGACCGTAGATAACAAAGATCAACGGCCAGAATCTCTTAATCCGTCCGTGCAAGTGGGACCTTGCCCCCGCCGAGGAGATGTCTGGAACTATCCTACAGCAGCCACTGCCCCGCCATTCTGCACTCTTTCCTATGTCATCGCATCCCGCCAGCGCCAATTGGTACTATGCTGTGCTAAGGGCCAGATCCCACTGGCAAAGTGGGATTGGTATAAGTGGCCGAATCTGGACGTGTTCCGCAAAGATGCAGAAAAGCAGAACAGTCACAATTTGTTTGCACATCTCCACAAACACGTCCAGATTCAGACTCTTTTCTCCCATCCTCTTTGCCAGTGGGATCTGCCAACACACCCTCATAACGAATGAATGTACATAAGCTATCTGTCAGCCCACGTACAGCCAAAATGACTGTGCGTTCTGTTCGGGGGACCGTACTAGAAGGGGGGGTACCCTGAAGGTGATCGTGCTCACTTAGCACATACGTCCAGCAGCACGGACTATCGCGAAGGAATCTGGTCGTCATTGGGATCAGATGCATTCGGGATACTCCCTCAGGCCACATTGCGTATATTCGGACCGTTGGACTACGTCCCATTCATTCCCGCCCAGTTGTCATCGAATCACCTGCGCTGTGGCGGGGTCAGAGGGCACCGCCACACCACTCTCGAGATGTGCAAAATGCGAATGAACTTCCCGCTAGAACATGGCCAGATGCACCCGCCACATTTTTGTCTTTTTTCACATTTCGACAGTGGTGTGGCGAGGCGACTCTGGAACGATCACCCCGCCAGGGCCTCCAACTGACTACCGGTAGTGCCAGGTAAGTCAGAATCCTCGAACGTTTCCCAAAAAAAAAAAAAAAAAAAAAATCGAACTAAGGTCTTTCTTCGCAGCCCTAAGGGTTGCGGTAAAGTGGGTTCAGTCGTCTATTCTGTTTCAATGTCAAGGTGGCCTAATTTTGGGGATGGGCGACCGGTAGAAAACGGGGTAAAACAGGGGTAAGACTTGGTCGGCGACCGGTCCTCCGCATTTTGCAGAGGACTGACCACTATCGCTCGATAGAAGGAAATGGTCGTCCGGTTGATGTGGACCCCAAATAGCTGTTGTCCCTTGGTTTGGGGAGTCCCCATGTGTTTTGCCGCCGTCCATTTTGGGGAGTCGCGGGCGCAAATTAGAGAGAGAGACCACAGGTCTATGTCCTGGACCTGTACGGCAAGCGGGTTCCTGCACTGCAGCTGCCCGATTCGATTGAGAAGGGGCCATGCACGGTGGCCATGACCTGGCCCTTGGAAAGAGCAGACTGTGTGACAATGCTGTTCGATGATGAGCATCAATATGCGGATACAGGACTCTCTCTCTCTCTCTCTCTCTCTCTCTCTCTCTCTCTCTCTCTCTCT